GTAAGAGTATCATTCATTTATTCACTTAATCAATCAATTTTCTGCTTACACTTAATTTTCAGTTTGACAATTTAACAGTAAATCAACATAAGACAAAAAATACATGCATCAAGGAAACACAACTGAATTATTTTACTAATTTCAATATATTATAATGCATTTAAAGTTGTAAAATCAAACAATCGATTAAACAAGACAATAATAATAAATAATCAGTTCTGACTACATTAGTAATATGTGATTAACTCTCAAAACTTTCTAAATTATGCAAAATACCGTACTATTGATAATTAGACTTCAATTCTATAACAGAAAAATAAGGTGATGGATTTTTACCCGAATCAGTGTTCGTAACACTAAACTTTCAGCTGCACCTACTAGCAGTCCCTGGGTTTCCTGAATTTTTCTGCAGAGATTAAAACATGTTTTATGTACTTAAAAATGCTCTAAAAATTCTGAAATCGATGTTAAAAATATTTTCGACCAATTTTGAAATTCTGGCATGGTGTTGTCGCCATGCTTCGGCAGCTGTTTGCCTCGGCTTAGCTATTTTCGTCCAGGTTTGGCTAGTCTTGGCCGATTTTATACTCATCCATGCGAGAAAATACGTTAAGAGGCCTCAGTTGTTCGAAAAAAATTAAAAAAGAAAAACTTACTGGTGGTTCGATGCGGCGGCTTCGCTGATTCACTTTCGCGGCTGGGCGTTTTTCTTTAGTCAACCTCTAAAAAATAGAATAGTGAACACAATGATGAAAAAATTGCACGAAATGGGAAACGAGAAAGGGCTCATCGGAGGCGATTTTTTATTTTTCCCGTGGTAGTGCTGCCGGGCTTTACTCGTTGTTTTCGGCTCATGTATCGTTCCTTTTGTTCTGATTTGGCTGTTGAGGTGTTCAAAATCAAATTTTTAACGAATAAAAGAATTTTTACCTTTTTTGGCATTCATAGGTGGCTCCAAAAAGGCAGCGGGTGGCGGTCGACTCCTTTCTCTAGTGACTGGTTCTTCTTCTCCGGCAGGGGCTGACGACTAGGGTTTGAGTTCAG